CGCAAGACGTAAGACATTTACTCATCACTTGAGAAAGTGAATTAGCTCATCATCTACTAAGTGAACTGAGGAACAAATTTTCCAATGAATCCTTTAAATCGTGAAAATACCCGATTTTTTTTCCGGAACTCTGGCCATTGATATAAATTCTGGCAAATAAGATGTTGACGTTAGAACGATGGTGTCATTGATAAAAACTTTAGATTGCAAAATAAAATTATTAATATGCGATATTGAGATAAATGAAACGAATACTACCAAACACACTTTGGGATCAAGGTGCAACGTGTGCCGGATATTCCTGAGCATCATCATTCTTCTTTTTAATGTGTTTAAACACTTAAACTAGCGTATTTTTAATTTAAAACTTCTGACTTTTTCTTCTGATCTTACCTTTTACAAACTCTGAAAAACACGTAATTTTAGTTTACAAAAAAAAACACGTAATTTTTAAATACTGTCGCTATCCAAATCGCTTTTTAAAAAGATAGTATATATAAAGTTAAAAACTTATATCTCTGTTAAATGTTTAGCATATTATATATTGGAGTCATAGGGGTTTTCAGTGGTAAATATGAGATTTGATACTAACTCTAGTATTATAAGCAATTATTTGATGTATCTTAATTAAATTTGATTCGGCTGACGATTGGTAGTTGAAGAGAATGTCTTCACTGGTTTACCTATATAAATACTGGCATTATAAGACCAGCTAATAATAAATTTTTCTTACTCTTCTTTTCTTTCAATATAGCTTCCTGATTTGATTATACTTAAAACGATACGATTATTATCAGAATCTTTAAGATCATATTAAAACGTTGTTACGGTTTGCGTCCGCCTCGTGCATTCGTTTTTAACTTATCTATCAAACTTCGGCGTTTGGTGCATTGATTGATGTAGGCCAAAAAATGTATGACAACAATAGTCTATAGGCAAGAAGTAACACTAACATTCTTTAATGGATATAAGAAATGAAATATATATTCAACCAATAAAATTGAAATATACACTAGATTAGATTTTGATCAAATCAAAGACCAGAAGAATATGATCTATTAACTTTTTCTAATGTAGTTATTAGTAATATATATTTATAAGCAATTTCTATATATTTAAGTGATTTTGTCCGTATCGTTTGATGTCCGGAACTGAGATCCAATCGTCCATGTCTAGTCACACCATCGAAAGCTGATTATATCCTTTACCAAAATTAAGTTTTTTTTTTTTTTTTTTTTTTTTTGAGAAAGGGATTCTTAAAAATTAAGTTTTGTTGCAATCCATGTCTAGTAATGAGTTTTTCATAGTCTAAATATTTGTGGTGTGGGAGTTTTGACAAATAGAATATTTGTAATATCATCTCCAATCCATTTATATATTTATCTCTATATTCTTTGCTAAAATAAAAAAAAATACTACTATAAAGATGAATTTACTCCAATGTATATTTTTATAATATTTTTAAGTAAAATATGGAACATACCAATGTAAATTTTTATAATATTTTAAAGAAAGATATGGAAAATACTATTTTCATCTCTCACAATATAGAATAAAAATAACATTTCACTATATTTTTCTCCAAAATAGATGAAATTTATTGATGTATACATTGGAACAAAACTAACTTTATAATAGATTCCTTTATTCGAGAAAAAAAATAGAGAGATATACTTTCAAAAATGCTCTAAATAATGAATAAGTAGGTTGCATAAGTCTCACTCTTATGCTACTCTGCCATGTAACTTATTTTAAGATCGACTACTGATTATAAATGGATTTGGTATACTGCTTAATAGTTAGGCTCATTCAACACTAATGCAATTTCAAATTTACTTAAACCTTATTTTCCTTAACATAATACAATCCACCATCTTTATTATCACGATTCAAGTGTAACAAAATTTAGCCAACGTAAAACGTTATTTGAATATAGTAAACTAAAGAGATACATACACTATAGAGCTACATACAATAGTTAAAACATTTATTATTTTGCAACCTCTTACGAATAATACAAATTGAGTCCTCATCGTATCAAAGTATGTACATTCTTAGATATCTTTGAGTTGTATTTTTTTTTTTTTTTTGCTAACCGAGTATCATGACCCCACCGTAGTGGTCCAGATTAGAGAGCAAAGTGAGCATGGATCCGAAAGTCACCAGATGATTCACCATGTAACGGTATTCGGTCTCGGATGCTGCAATCTATATGTAAATTCTGCAGTGGCCAAGGTTCGAACTCAGAGACGGACATTCCTGCTACATCTTTTTTACCGCCAAACCAAGCAACTTGGTTTTGAGTTGTATTCTTTTGCAAACAAACACTGCTAAGTAACAACTGTGTGTTTGTGTTGCTTCGTTAAACATTCCCGGTACTAGTTATGTCATGAGATACAATAGAAAAAAAACAAATGATCGTGATCATGGTATCATCACTTTCACATTCTAAAACAAAGATGCGTGCATCTTTCCAAAAAGAAAAAAATGCGTGCATCTTTTAGTTTTAGTTTTCTTGAGTTGCATCTTTTGAAGAATAAGTGTTATTGAGTTGTTATCATGTTAGAAACCGTGTTTTTCTGGAACTTGAGTGTTAACCATATCACATTATATATTATGTTCACGGATATATAGAGGATATACGATTTCGATCCAAAAAGTCCTATAATAAAAGTGTGTGTTTTACATCTTCCTATTAAGTTATTAAAATTCGGATTGTATTTTTTTATTTGATATGTTTTGCATAAATTTTAAATGGTGTTTTTATAAGAGCTTGAAGTCATGAATATTAATTTATTGTTTGATTTCTATGATCAACTTGATAATGTTTAAGTGTTTTACGTTAAGAAATTGTTTAAAGAAATTTCACAATGTGTCTTCTGTTTTTGGTACAAGATTTTACAAATGATTTTATTGAGATTTTTTTGATATAATGATTTCATTTTCACAGAAAAAGTATATATAGACATATACCAGTTATATGTGTCATTATTAAGAAAATTACTACCTAAAGATCTACATCAAAAGTTCTACTTCTTGTAATCACAAAACTCATAACTTTTGTAATCAAGTCGTTTTTGAAGTTCTTCTTGTAATATTCTTTTTTTTGATAAAAATTCTTCTTGTAATATTCAAAACTGGTAAAAACATATTCAGAGAGCTCACGCTAATACAAAAACACACACACATTTGCATTTATTCAGAAGAGTTAAATAGAAAAAGAAAAGTTGTTTGGAAAGAGCAGTAACAATATTTTTTTTAATTATGACATATTTTTCAAAGAAGTTAGGGTTTGAATAGATTGTGACATTGTAGATACATTAATTAGTGCGGTTAGTTGACACAAGTATGTATTTTTTTCCATGTCCAAGTACCTCTTTTTGATATTGACAGATTTGTTTTAACAAGATTAATTTCTGAAATTAATCAAATACATAAAAAATATGCATCTATCAGAATACAATATTACTGTTTTTTTGTCAACACAATAGTACTGTTTACACTGGATATTCTTCACCAACTAATTAATATAGTTTGATGAGTGTTTTCATAACTTAGTAAATAACGGTTGACTTTTGTTTTCATCTCCTATTAATTAGAATTGACTTTGGGTTCAAGGTATTTTAAATGTATTTATGGTTTAAGCTTGTCAACAGCTAAGGCGAAAATTATGTATATTTTGTTTAATCGAATGATATATTCAACATAAATTAGAAGTTGAATTATAAAATAGCGGGAAACGTAATTTTCATTTTCCATCTCCTGGTATTTGGAGACTTAACAAAACACAGGTTAAAAAGTATCATATACGTATTTTTGAAACAGTATTGTCTATTTATATTGTTTTTTTTTTGTCATTTGACACCGAAGCTGATATATGTGACTGTTCCTTGGTGATTATATACTTTCCTGTCGTTGTCTTAACTTTTCCTTCTGATACTTCCATAGTTTTTTTCTTTCACAATTTTAAAAGATTTGTAATCGCATAGAATATCAATTGGAAATAATTTGACAACTTTACTCAAATCTTCCCGCATCATATACTTTTGTTTGGATTAGATCTTGGCATTTGAATCTTAGGGTCGGATTCAGATAGTTTTTCTTCTTAATTTGAATCTTTTTGGATCTTAGATATTTAGATTCAATTAAATAATTAAAATACAGTAAACATATTTTGCGTACGTAGCTCATCCAAGTCGGTTTGGATATTTAGAGCACTCCAAACTGAACAAAAATATCAAAACCCCCTTATCAAAATTTAGCTAAAATCTATCATATTTTATTTTTAATTTTATAAAATAATAAATTTAATACTGAAGGTTTTATATTACTTGAAAATTATACAAAATAATAATGAGAACTACAAAAAAGCTAAATCATAAATTAAATATAGAAATAGACACACGGAATACTACTCATGTATATATTCATGTTTTAGACCAGGTCTACATCAGTTCTTTTCGAGCCAAATATTCGGATCGGTTCTTTTTGTATTCAGACCTATTCAGATCCTTTTGTTGCGCATCTGATTGTTTCGGTAGAGAAATCTTTGATCCAACTAGATACTTATTACTCGGTTTCGAGTTAAATATTTTTGGGCCAGTTCCGGTTCAGATTCTTGAGTTAGTAAAATATCTAACCCTAGTTTTGGAAATTAACAACTCCTTAATACTAAAAACTAGATATGTTGATGTAGCCCGAGTGAATATTGTTATAATGTAATGGTGGATGATGCTAAAATTTTGGAACAGTATAGCTTGTCTAAAGAAACAAGTACATGCAAATAACAGACTGGGCCTTTACGACTAAAATATTAACCCTGTATAATTAAATTAGGCCCATCATATAATCAAAATGCGGTTTTCTTTTTGGCCCACTCGAGATTGATTATGTCCATAGCCACCTTAGAAATCTAGGGTTTTCCAAATCTTGTGAGTGTTTTTAAAACGCCGTTTCGTCCTCTGTCTTCTAGCTTATTCACGACTTAGCATTCAAGAATCATGGGGTTTGCTGCGATCTGGAACTCTCACCCTAAGAAGTACGGCCCTGGTTCCCGCACCTGGTATTACTCTCTCTCACTATCATCTTCCCTTTGATATGTTTTGTCTCTAGAATTTGTTTTTTGATTTGTGAATCTGATATTCTGATGCTGGTAGGGATGAATTTTTCATTATATTATTGTATTGGTTGACCTTTGTGAAACTTTTATGTTCTGTTTGGGTTTGTGTTTGTAAAGTACAAAACTTGTCCTTGTCGGAAGAACATTAAGAGACTTTTGTTTAAATGATTAACATTAATGTTTTAATGATGTTATCTTGATTACTTCCGTGGAAAAGAGTACACTTTGATTATTTTGTCATTTTCATTGAAAGATAGTATTTGTTGATGATATTGAGGGATCTAATTATAGTATTGAAAATTTTGGTTTTTGTGTAGCCGTGTGTGTGGAAACTCGCATGGGCTAATCAGGAAGTATGGTTTGAACTGCTGTAGACAGTGCTTCCGCAGCAACGCCAAGGAAATCGGATTCATCAAGGTAAAAACATTGTTATGATACAACATGAGTTACTCCTTGTCTCCATACTATTACTTGTGTTTTTCTTAATCTCGTTTTGTGTTTCTCCTTCTTTGCAGTACCGTTAAAGATCCGGTGTTTGCTTATATGTGCAATCATTTGGTGTGTTTTAAGCTTTTGAGACTTTCATAATGTAATGGATCTTATAAATGTTTTATGATTTATGCAAGACATTTTGAGTTGTTTAACATTCTAGCTTCCTTGTTTTAATCCAAATTCTTGGTTCTGCAATTTGATCATCTTATAGATTTGGAGTTTCTCTACCATTTTGACCATAATCTCCATGTATAACCGGGGAAGAAATTAATACTTTTACAATTTTGATTCATTTGCTTAAAAGACACAAGTAATATAGTGATACCAATGAAGCAATTCATTCACCATCAATCCATCATCATCAATTATCAAACAAATTCATCTTTTATAATCACTTTAAACACAAGAAAATTTAAGAAAAATTTACAGTGTAAGACACTTTTCAAGTTTATAATTACGTTATGAGACACTTTGAACTACTAACACACTTTTTGATGGTGGAAAGACACTGATATCCCTAAATTAAATGATTTATTACATATTCTCTTATTTCGAATCCGTCTCTCTCCTTCTTCTATTCTTCTTTCCCTTTCTTCACATACCTTATCTTTTATCGAGCTTCATTTTTTTCAGTTATAGAGATAACTTTTATGTTTGATCATATTGGATCAAAACCCACATAAGTATTTGATTCAACTAAAAACAGAGTTTTTAAGGAGACATGAATTGAGTGTTTCCGTGCAGAGGAATATGGATGACGCTTTTGACGGAGGAAATGCTAGAGAGAGTAATCGAAGGTGTTAGGGTTTCAACGCGTCGGCGTTTAGGCTCGACTCGCTACCGTTCCAGGAGCTTCCAGAAAGACTAATCATAGTTCTTAGGGTTTATCGATTTGAGATGTCGTCAGCGTTTGTTCTCGACTTTGCCGCAACGGCCGCTCTAGCAAACTAACAAGCACCATCTTCCACCACACCTTTCATCACCGCCTCCAATCTATCTCTCTCCGCCGATTAAGCTATCGCGATAGTTCTTTCTTGTCTCAGCCCATGACTAGTCCGACAAGACCCTAGCCAATTCTCTCTTTTCCCCAATATAGTAAGATTGATACACTATTCTCTGTTTAATCCTTCCTGAAAATAGGTTTTGTTCGAGTAAGACTTTAAAGTTACATCTTCTGAAAAAACTTATCTTTGAGACTCGAGTCTTGTATGTGTGACCTCTTTAATCTTGTCTTGTTATTGGTTTATACTGCAATGTCTTCAAAGAACAATGTTATTCTCGTCAATATTCACAAGATATTAACGATGTCATATTGGTGTTTGGAAATGGATTGTCTTTTGGGATTTAGCTTGAGACAGATTGTTGTAATCTCTTATTTATCTTAGCTAATTTGTTAGAAAAAGGACTATAATGTCTATGATTCTTATATATTGGTGTAGTAGTCTCCTAGTTGATGGCTGTGCTAAAGGGTACTGCTATAAGAAAAACCATAATGATACTGTCTTTTGTTGTTTTTTTGTTCAATCACGGTCCAAGGGATTATGGTTATCTATAAATTTTCAACTATTTATATATGTATCAACCCATACGTGAATGAGAAATGGTTATATTCTTAAAATTATTATTATTATGGACACTAAAAAAAGTCTAAAGTAAAAGTATCTGTATGGACACTACAAAAGATGTACAAGTACTAAGGTGTCCATATGGACACACACCATTGTCCATATAAGTTTATACCATACACTCACGTTAACAAAAGATGTTCAAGTACTAAGGTGTCCATATGGACACTTGTATTTATCATTTTTGTGTACACACCATTGTCCATATAAGTTTATACCATACACTCACGTTAACAAAAGATGTACAAGTACTAAGGTGTCCATATGGACACTCGTATTCATCATTTTTGTGTACACACCATTGTCCATATAAGTTTATACCATACACTCACGTTAACAAAAGATGTACAAGTACTAAGGTGTCCATATGAACACCCGTATTCATCATTTTTGTGTACACACCATTGTCCATATAAGTTTATACCATACACTCACGTTAACAAAAGATGTACAAGTACTAAGGTGTCCATATGGACACTTGTATTCATCATTTTTGTGTACACACCATTGTCCATATAAGTTTATACCATACACTCACGTTAACAAAAGATGTACAAGTACTAAGTGTTGGAATTCATGAGTGTTTGTCTCATGTCAAGAGAATATTCAGTTAACTTGTAACTGAATCCTCTTAAACCTAACAACAGGAACTCACCATTCAAAGGAAGAGACAACCAACTGGTGGTTGAATCCTCTTAGACAGCCAATACTATAACCAAGATCCTAGACAGCAATCTGGTTATGTATGGCAAATAATCTCTAGTNGTGAATATTGTTTAGACACAAGATAGAGAGAGAAAGCCACGAATTTAGACTGAGAGAAACTTGTATATTGCTTCTGGTAAGTGTTACAAGTGATGGAGAAGCCTTTAAATAGGCAATACACATGATTAAACAATTACTAAAACAAGGAAACATAAACAAATAATTCTGTAGGGAATGAGATGAAGCCAAAGGGGATACAACCAAGGTATGGCACGTCCAGGAAGAGTAAAAAAAGGGACAGGAGAGAGGGTGTGGTCTCCATGGTGATAGTGACAGGTCTGCCACAACTCCTTATGCACCCATGTGACTTCTTCTTGTCTAATTCAAACCAGATCCTTCCTTTTGAATTCAAACTGAATAATATATGTTTTATGGAGCTTAGCAACGTCCCTTAAGCCTTCCCACTCCATTCTTGCCTTGAAAGGTAGGTTAGGTCAGCTTGGTTACTTGTGGATCAAGTTTAAATGGACCAACTTCCATTTCAAGTCAATGCAGCATCTTTTCTTGTAGTTGCCTTGAATCCTTAATGGCTTGCTTCCTTTGGTCATTCCCTCTTCATTTCAACACTAAGGTGTCCATATGGACACTCGTATTCATCATTTTTGTGTACACACCATTGTCCATATAAGTTTATACCATACACTCACGTTAACAAAGGATGTACAAGTACTAAGGTGTCCATATGGACACTCGTATTCATCATTTTTGTGTACACACGATTGTCCATATAAGTTTATACCATACACACACGATAGGAGATCCTTGGGCAAGCTTGGAACCTTGAAGAAACTCCCTCATTAAAAACCTTAGCCAGAAAACCCTTTTTGGGATAAAACCAGCTAAGGAAAAGAGTAGAGTTCTTCAAAGCCTAGGGATTGGCCAGTGAGTCTAAGGAGCTTCAGATAACTCAAGGTGGAGTCCTTAGACTCTGGATCATGGCCTTTCTTCAATAGCAAGTAGGCACCAATGCCTTTCGTGCTACACACTCAAAACTACTTGGAACTCTCCATGTGGCTGGTTCTAGGTCTCCCCCTTTCTTCTGACATCCTGCCATCATCAAAGGGTTTAATCCACGACCAGACTCTTCTCATGAGCTCCAAGTACCTGATTCAAACAATGCACACACACATGCATCAATTCTCAAGGGGAAAACCTATTCAAACAAGAATAAGTATAGTTTTAGGCACTTCCCTTGCATAAGAAGAATGGACATTGGCTTCTCATATTAACACCCCTCCTCAAGCTTGACCTGAGAATGAGAGTATATGGTCAAGCTTGGAAGATGAGAGCCAATGATGATCACCAATGCTTTGAGACCACAGCCCTCTAGGCTTTAATTGCGGCCTTTTCTCTTAAGTGTACTTCCTTTCCACCCTCTTGGCATTAGGTAAGTCACTTCTGAGCAATCTCTCCATGGTCAGGAATATACATCTTGTGTAGGCTCTGAACACATGGGCAAAGCCTTCTTCTTTGTCTCAGATTGGTGATGGACAAAGAACACCTCTTGTGTACCTGAAACATCACTCAAACTCCAGCAAGAATTAGACAACAC